AGTGACAGCTGACCTGTAAATGAGTGAAAACTGCAGAGTTCAGGCCATTAGATGTAGCTTGTCTGTGTTGGGACATTCTTTTGAACAGCCTTTAAAAGCCTGAATTTTGCCTGAAACTATCAGACTGAAGAAGTCTCTTGGAGGAGAGACGAAACGTTTCATTAGAGAAGAACCCGTCCAGAAGACCTATACAATTTTTTTTTCTTTTTGATTTTTTTACCTGGACTACTGAGATGCATCAGGACACACAGAAAACTTTGTTCTTTATTCTGTTTATTTAAGCTTTATTTTGTACATAGACATTTTCATTGATGCCGTTTTTTCAGGACAAACCCTCTCAAACAAATATTTCCCTTGCGATTAAATAAAGTGGTAGAAACAAGTGTGGAAAAGGTTTTCACTCTTTAAATTTAGAGATTTTGTAGTGGTAAATGTATGCTATATATCTTAACATGAGGTGGATAAGCGTTTTCTATTATAGAAATGGGTCATACTATGTAAATTAACCAATAGTTCTAAGGGATTTATTTATTTTTTTGTTAGTTCTAGTTGGCATTTATTACCTGCTGAGAGTAGTTTGTAGATTACATACAYACAGGTGAACTAAAATGCAAGAAAACAATTCGTACAGATCTTCACTTTAGCCTTGGAGCTCTCTGGTAGGAACATGCCATCTTTAAAAAAAAGGTTTCACAACTCTTGCCAAGTGGTTTCAAGCTGCAGAATAAATTTGGGATCAGTTACATGGCTACCTGATGGCTTTGGATGATGAAGAAGAGTACAAATCCCAAAAGGACTAGGACTTTTACACAGTAGTGGACTGTATGGTGAAATAAAAGAACCATATGTGATTTTAGAAATGAAACATTTTGATATTGTGATTGAGTTTTAATTTCAGATTGGGTTGCAGTTATTGGGGCTGCTACTTTGATACTGAGCTTATTTCAAAAATAGTTAATATCTTACCTGTTTTAGAAAGCTTTTATGAAAAACTGGACTTGTTCAAAGAGCTGTCTCCAACAGGTAAGATAGAAAATATTTGTTCATATTTATAGTCTCTCTATAGCAGTGATTCCCAAACTTTTTATCTTCTGACCCACAAACTGTCCGTGGCAAAAACGTGTGACCCCAAATATTACTGGTCTGAGTACACAAACTTTGTTAATAACCCTAAAAACACAGGCTTTTTGACAATCTGAACAGCGTGTACACAAATATAAATACGTATTTATACTTATTTTGTGTTTTTGTAATAGTTATAGGAAAAATATTACATCAGCAATTATTTTATTACCCTTTAAATTGATTTCTGGAGATTATCCAAGGTGCTTCWTGACCCATAATTGGGTCCCAAGCCCAACTTTGGGAACCAAAGTGCAGTGGTTCCCGAACTTTTCAGCTTTTGACCCACAAAATAACAGTAGCAGAGACCTGTGCCTCCATATATTTTTGGATGGTAAACATTTGTATCAGGTCAACAAAACATGGGCATAGTAACAATGGGCCTCATGCAAGAACCGTTCGTACGCACAGATTTGTTCTTAAATTGTGCGTACGAGTGATTTAGGAGAATTTGTGGCATTCACCAATGTTTTCGTATTCTAAGATTTTTTTCAGATACGAAAAAAATTTACGAGTGGTCCAGACCTGTCGCACGGAGGCGCACGGTGCGCAGCGCTGCGGCTTCTGAATAAATAAAAATGATTTAACACAGTTGTTTATACTTTTAGCAGCTCTTTTTATCCCACAGCTGACCTGCTAAAAATGACAGATTTTCTTTTCTGGATCTCTGACAGACGGACTTCAAATCTGAACTTAAAGTTCTTTTTAGATTTCACTGTAATTTTCATGAATGGACACTTCCTTGTATCTGAGGCAGGAAACATAGCCTTATATGGTGTTTTTGGGGTGGTAATTATGCTAATCTCCTCTCGCGTGCACGAGCAGCTGGATACGAACAGGTGTAAATTACGCAGCTCATTTACGCACTTTTCCAGAAGATAGAAAATTTGTTGAATCTGACGTGACATGTTCGTACGAACCCTTCGTACAAACAAAAGTAAGAGAAATTTAGGATAAAAATACGAACATGTTCTTGCATGAGGCCCATTATTTTTATACTAGATTTATCCATTTTAAATATACTAACCTCACTTCTTTGTAACAACTAAGACAAAAATGTAATTAATTCCTAAAATCTTTTCAGGACCCCACCTTGATGTTTCGGGACCCCACTTTGGGTCCCGACCCCAACTTTGGGAAACACTGCTCTATAGAACCACAAATATCTGAAATATCTTTATCACTTTATTGTTTTTAATGTGATTTTATTTTCTATGATAAGCCTGTTGGATATTAATCATTCATTACTATAGACGATGTAATTAGTAATATTTTCATTATACATTTCTTAAAACATTTTAACAATAAGACCTTTTTTAAAATGGGTGACCATATTAAAGACTGAAATGAAGATACAATTCAACTGAGTCGGGAAACATCAAATAATATTGTCTGCAACATTGGCGCTTTAGGTTTGTCCTTGCTTAGGGAATGTAAAATGTCAGTGAAAATGTGAAGAACTCTGTCCCCCCACAAGAACGGAAACAATTTGACACAAAAAAAAAGCTACAAAGTTGCAAAAAGTTACACACCTACACAACCTCTGTATAACAGAACGTGGTTGGTTTCTTTGTGAATGTGTTYGTTTTACTGTATGAATTCATGCAATGTGTGATGGTGGTGAACTAGTTGTGATTTTTCTAGACTTCATCTTTGAACATGACCTCTTYTCTTTAGCCTTGAGTGGCGTGCAGCCATGCAGCATGTCTTATTGTATTAGAAATCACATTATWTTTTATCAAACTGTTATCAGACAACAGTAAAGTATCACTGCTGTCAGTGTGACACAGTTTTCAACTATTTTGCCCTATATTACACTTGGTTAAAACAGTTTCCCGGTTTGTTTCTCATWCAGGTGGATTATGTACACTGCCTCCCCAGCAACCGTCATGCCTTATGGAAGATTCATGAACCAYCTATGACATTCCAGCAGGATCAATGTTTACAGCAACCGTTACTTTTGCCAGCAATTAATCTCCCATCAGCATTTTTGAAAATCACTTTTTTATTGTGCAAAGCACAAGCAAACCACTACAGGTATTTTGTTAGTTTTTTTGGGGTATTTTTTTTTACTTTTTTTTTTACAGTCATCTTTTTTTGCAAGAGGCTGATCCTTTTTATCATGAGATTCCGAATCTACAAGAGGAAGGTGGTGATACTGACTCTGGTGGTTGTCATCTGTGGCCTAGCTTTCTGGAGCAGCGGAAGGCAAAAGAACGAAAGTGGTTCATTCCCCAAGGAACTGGAGACGGTGAAGAGGGGCAGCAGCAGTAGTAGCGTCAACAATCATATCCAGGTGCAAGCTACTTCTGCAGTTAGCCGTGCACCCGTTCCACCACCTGTTTTACAAGCAAATGACACGTACCAGGAAAAAACAAAACATAAAGGCAAACTGACAAAGCCTGAGGTAGATAACGCCACTTTAGTCTATCGAGGCATTGTCTTTAAGCTGAATTTTGACCAGACGATAAGAAATGAAGAGAAGTTTAAGAAAACCCGACACAAAGAAGACCTGGTTGTGGTAGTTCAGGTTCATAATCGACCYGACTACCTCAAGCTGTTAGTAGATAGTCTGCGAAAGGCCAGAGGTGTCGAGAGCATATTGCTGATATTCAGCCATGATTACTGGTCCCCAGAGATTAATAAAGTGGTGKCTTCTGTTGACTTCTGTCAAGTCCTTCAGATTTTCTTCCCCTTCAGCATTCAGCTGTACCCAGAAGAGTTCCCAGGAAATGACCCCAAGGACTGCCCCAGAGACATTCCCAAAAAAGACGCCTTAAAGCTCGGCTGCATCAACGCCGAGTACCCAGACTCCTTCGGCCACTACCGTGAGGCCAAGTTCTCTCAGACCAAACACCACTGGTGGTGGAAGCTGCACTTTGTGTGGGAAAGAGTCCGGGTTCTCAAAGACCATCAAGGCCTGGTTCTATTAATTGAGGAGGACCACTACTTGTCTCCAGACTTCATCCATCTCTTAAAGCTGATGAAAGCTCTGAAACGGGAGCAGTGTGCCGACTGCGACATCCTTTCACTGGGGAGCTACAGCCACATCGGCTACTCCAGTAAAGCGAACAAGGTGGAGGTGAAGGCCTGGAAGTCCACGGAACACAACATGGGGATGGCTCTGAGCCAAGACACGTACCAGAAGCTCATCCAGTGCACAGACACGTTCTGCACTTACGACGACTACAACTGGGACTGGTCCTTGCAGCACCTCACCGTGGCCTGCCTGCCCTCCTACTGGAAGGTCATGGTGAGCGAGGCACCCCGGATTTTCCACGCGGGGGACTGCGGCATGCACCACAAGAAGGCCTCCTGCATGCCCATCAGCCAGAAAACCAAGATTGAGAACATCCTACAGAGCAGTGGGAACCAGCTGTTCCCCAAAAACCTCTTGATCACAAAGAGRCTGCCAGCCAACGGAGCCGGAGGGGTGGCCCCACATGTTAAAAACGGGGGCTGGGGAGACATCAGGGACCATGAACTCTGCAAGAGTTACATTCGATTACAGTGACCTTAATTGATATTATTATATATTCTTGTCTCTTTTTTGCATCCTATATAATGAAAAAGTAAACCTTTATGAACTATTCTTCATATTGCCTGTTTTCTTGGACTGTTTTTCTTGGACTGTTCCAAATAAAGACGAATGTTGAATTTTTGGCCTCTAACAGTGATACTTGGTAACAATATTGGTTTAAATTCTTTTTGACCTTTTTTAAAGACTTTGATAGAATACATTTGGCATCAAAGCAAACAAATACGTAGAACGTTTTTAAATATGCTGTGTCCAAATTCAGGAGCTGCATCCTTCAATGGCCGAGTTTGAAGGGCGATGCACCGAAGGCTGTCCAAATTCGAAGTCTCCCTCCAATCGGAGCCCACAAATGTCCTTTTTCCCTGATTTGATGGGCGTGTTCGGTGGATCCTTCTCTGCCTACCCTATCTAAAGGTACATTGAGGGCTGACCGTTAGATTTTATTTTTTTTGCTTGTAACGGTGGACAAAGCGAGAGAAAAGAAGTAGTTTTAAATAAAAATCTGGCAGTACGAAAATTGAAAGTTTCTTAATATTTTTGTCAGAAATCAAACTAGCTCGTTATGTATTGCCTCTAAGCTAACTTTGATCATTTGTAGTAATAATGTATSAATATTTGATAATTTCATACTATTTTCAATCTTCATTTCTTCAGTTTAGAGTTGTCATGGTTGCTGTGTGACAGGACATACACCACGGTAAAAGGGGGAGTTAAGCTGAAGGCTAAACCATCCAAATWGACAGCCAATTCCTTCCAATGACAAACGACCTGACACACTTGGGTAGGCCTGCTCCTTTTAAGGACACAAACCCTGAATTTTGACACAGCCATAGACTTACATCAGGAAGTACAACCATGTGCTCATAAAATTACTTTGCCTACAAGAATTAACTAACCTGCTGTGCTCCCAATTAATTTCAAGATATTTATAGCACACCTATTAACTGAGATTGGAGACACCCCACCCCCATTTTAGGTAATTTTATGTTTCTAGAGCTGACAAGATTCCTCCTGCAAAGAGTGTCACAATACAGCATGACAGGATGGTTACACGAGTGCATTCAAAAAGTAGATCAGTCCCCCCCTCWTCCAGTCAACACTTGACAGCTAAAGAGCAGCCAGGCTACTGCTACGGAGGACTTGGCGCCTGCAGGGCATTGTTTCATTTTGTTGCAATGCATCACTGTCTTTAACTCTTCGGGGAGAACATGTAAGTCCAGGCCACTGCGTCTCTGCAGAGACTTTCCATGATAAACACTGTACTCCCGGAGAGATCCCAAGACGCTTGTACTGCCTTTCTTGTTTCTGTTTTGTTCCTATTGAAAATGCATTTCCATTTAAAGTGCTTTGAGCTCCGCTTAGTATCGACGCTTTCCACTGAGGCCTGAGCTCTGCGGCCTCTTTCAGGCTGCATTGATTGTTGTTTTCCCTCCTCCCCCTCTCCTTCCAGCAATGTGGAACAATCTGATTTGAATTAAAAAATTAGTTCATTGAAACTGTCTCTTTATGTAGTTCAAAGGACAWGCATCTGCTGGTAGACTCAGCATTTTAAGGATGCATTTCAGCATAAAACGAATATAAAAATTAAAGGCATTTCTTAAAGGAATGCAGATTGCCTGCAGCCTTTCATGCCAGTGTTAACTAAGGTCCTATGCAGAGAAGGGGAAGTGTTATAGCTATTTTAGTCAAAACTTGCAAATAAAATCAACCCAATCCAAAATCAGTTAGTTGTAAGGGCCATCCTAATAGTATGGTTTCAAAACAATCAGTTTTACATGTCAATAATTACTTTTTTAGTTTCATTAAAATCAATGTTGACGCTGTTGCCAAAGTTTTAAACAAAAATGTTGGTTCTTATTTAGTCAGAAATGAGTGAGCGGTTTATGGACAAGTTTAAAAACACATTAAATGCGATTAAAGAGAGCTTGTAGTATGAGTTAGAAATGACTCAACTACCACGCCAAATTTCAGTAAATTATTTGTGAAACTAAATGAGTTAGAGCCACTTTTGTAATGTTTAGCTGTGGTAGCCATCTTGATTTTGGTTGACTCCAGAAGCTAATTAGTCTTTAATGGACATTAATGATTACCAGTGGTGGGGCAGCACTAATCTAAAAAATTAGTTGCACTAACCCTTAAGCACTAACTTTAATATTTAGATCCCCTAATTCTAAAGCACTAAGACACTTGTCAAAAGCTAATTCTAAAGCAGTAAAGTCCCAGCTGACCCATGGAACACATGTGACCAACACGTCTGACAGCTTTCACCCTCAGCTAATAAATTAAGAAATTAGGAAAAGCCCTAAAGCACTAATCAGAAAATTAGTTCCCCTATTAGTTCTTTGGTGCTTTAGGGGAACTGTGCCCACCACTGATGATTACTTTCTGAAAGTTAAGAAAAATCCGTGTTTATGAAGAACTCTGCTAACAATCACGAGCAAAACCATCATACAATGCGATTACATCCTCTGTCGTTGGGTTGGACTTGCTGTAACAATGATGAAGCCAAACATAGCTCTTCATATATATTTTTAAGTCCCAGTTAATTTCCTGTGAACTTGCTGAATCACATGACAGACACACGGCGCAGCTGCTCAGGAACCTGCACCTTAAGGGGAACTACAGAGGCTCAGAATAGAAACGAGAATAGAGGAAGTGGCACTTTGTGTTTGGAGCCTCGAAAAGTGGATTGCAGTTCCTCTGAACAGTTGTAGGAGGAAACACAAACATTACCATAATAGGAACAAACCACTAGTTGGTTATTATACGGTAACAGCTTTTGCTAAAGAAACTAAACTCTGGGGACAATATGTGGGCACACGCTGATCCCTCAATGTGGGGAAACTGATGGAGGCCCTCAATCAGTTCCCATTAAGCAGGGGCCTGTTTCCCTGTTGATGCAACACAGGCACATCTTTGTGGATTATAATTGCTCTCCAAATACCAACCAGCAATTTATATTCACTACCAAGTGTTTGTGGGTAGGAGATAGCAAACAGGAGCAAGCTTCTCATGTGCGTGGGGCCTGTTTATGTAAGAAATTAATTGATACCTGCTCTGCGTGGACGTGAGAAGTTGATGAGAGCTCAGAATTAGTCCGAGCTGTTTTCGTGACACGCTGACGGAGATGATGGAGCAGATGCAGCAGCCTACTAATCACACACACACTCACACTTCTCACACGGTTGACACAGGGTGCAGGTTTTAGAGGGATGAGTGCTTGTTGTTTCCTCCAAAAGTGGCTCATAAATTATGGAGGAGCAGCGGTTTTTAGTCTGCGTTTGGAATATAAAGTGCATTTGGAGGAGTAAGGATGCATCTGCGAGGGGAGATAAAGATGCTACAGGGTGATGCATGCGGACAGTGATTTCCTCATTTGATCAAGTGATAAATTGTTGGGGGGTAAAAAGGAAACATTTCTCTGAGCAATGCTGCCACCTACTGAGCAACTGTATGAATTATTGCAGAACAGACTGGCAGAGGAGTGAAACTCATTTTGCAAGTACAAATATTCATAAATACTCATCATTTTTTTCTTCCATACGATTTTCAACACGTGTCTCATCCTGCAATTTTTGTGCTATCTCAACAATTCATTTATCAAAATGTTCGGCTCCTTCAGGACATTCCGGCGATGATTCTGATATTTCAGCTATAAATACTTTTTGAGATATTTAGCATTTTTTGGCCATTTTTTGTTGTTATTGAAAATTAATGGAATTGTCTTCAACATCAAACCTTTCCAGCACTTTACACCTTTTTGTTCTGGCTCTGCTTTTCTTTTTTACTTCTTTGTACATTCTGCTTCCTTCAGCTTCTACTTTGCTTGTTTTTTTTTCTACTTTTCAGCTATTTTTTTCTGCTCTTTTCAGTTATTCTGCAAACTCAATTGTTTTGTTCTTCTAGCAGGTTCTTACCTAAGCTTTCTTTGCTTTTTTTTCAGTTGTTTCCTGCAAATTTTAGCCTTTTTTAATGATCATTTTGTGATAATTTTATACTTTCTTCTCAGCTGCTTAAGTCAGTAAATGTGCTCTTTCTGCTTCTTTTTAAACTACTTTTAGCTTTTGTGGTTATTTTGCAACAAATTGCAAACTTTGTGTACATTTTCACTGTTTTCTGCAACAAATTTTCAGCATTAAACCTTCATGCTAAAAATTGTCTCAAATACCATGACTTTTTGTTGTAGAACTAAAAAAGTAAACAGTGGGATTTTGGTGGAACACAGCTCTCTCTTAAAGCTCTATACCTAACACACCAGTTATATCATTCAAAGTTTAAACAGGTGGGGCAGATAGTTGGACTTAGATGATGTCACACACTATCATTTGAATTCTGCAAAACTGATAAATCATTTGCAAAACTAACTCTTCTTACTCCAACTGCCCAAATATAAGCAAATTTGATATTTTCAGTTAGTCTCTCACTGCCATAAGACATGATTTGCTCTCAAACCCCCCCAGAATAGACACAAGCTTACATTTTAGCTCAAAACTGAACGTGAAGGTTTGTTTGGACTCGAAATACGGTAAAAGTTAAAACTCAATGTGTGATCGAGTCTTCTGCTGCTCACTGTACAAGAACTGTTAAGACCTGATGAAAGATAGTGGCCATGTGGTTTTGTCAGCCTCTCATTAATGCTGCAGTCAGGGAGCGAGACACAGATGTGCGCTTACTATAATTTGCCACTAGCAGCAGTTTAAATACCTTTATTTCTCAATTCTGATTGGTTGTCTTCTTATACAGTTCTCATATTAAAAACAGTGTCAGATGTCATTTTACTTACTATTTATATTTATGCGATTGCTTTAAATTAATATTATAAAACAATTGACATTGTATTTGGAAGYTGTCGCCAGTATTACAATTCTTTAAAAAATCTTTTTTTTAAACCAGAGTACTTAACTACAACCTACTGTACTGTATTTCAACACAGTAATAAAAAAATGTTAAAAGAAATAATTCAATGTTTAATTTTATATTATTATTTTTCTGTTATTTTTTTATTACTGTTGGATGTTTTGCTTTTATTATCTGGAGGACTAGCTACGTAAATTAGCCTTAGGCTAAATCTGGTGCAATGCATCAAATGTTTTTATGTTTATGTTTTAATTGCACTGTCCTGTTAAATTCATCCATCCATCCATCCAGTAGTGAATAAAAATAAAATACACAAATGGAACAAGAGTATTGTCAAAGCTGTTTTAATAGGTGCCACATAAAGAAAAAGGATTCCAGTGTGAAAATCCTCAGTCCTACATGGATACCTGATAAACTTCCTCATCTCAAGCAAATACACCACCGGCAGACGCCGACGTTCTGTCAGCCGGAATTCAAACACAGTGTCAAAAGGGTTGCTCACAGGTTCAGCGTCAGTTCAGAGATTAGAACAAACAGTAACAAGGGAGTAGCAAGCTTCAACCCCGGTCTACAAAACACATCTGTCAGTCTTGTTTAAGCTAAATCACAAGTTGATGGGTAGGGACCAGAGWCTACAAGCGAGAAGAGAAATAAGGGGCGGGGGAGTATACCAGGGATCGTCTTTCTGTGGTTTACCTGAGCTTGAAGTGACGGCTGCGTTTGCCTGTCTGTCATGAAACCTGCAGCGACAGGTTAGCAAGCACACAGCACTACCTGCTATAGGGTTTTCTAAGACTCCAAATACCAAACGCTTCATTCGTTAAAAAATACACCTGAATTCTCTTTTTGTACAACAGAAAAGAAATGTGTTCACCTGCATATTCAAGATTCATTTTTAATATTAGACTTTCTGTATAAGAAATATCACTATTTTATGAAATGAGGCTCTTGGAACTAAGAATAATGATCTTTACACCCATAAATCAAAGTATTTACATATAGTACAGTACCAATTTCATTCAGAAACTTTAAAATAAATGTTCAGTAGATACAAAGGTTTTTTTTCTTTTCTCAACTTTTCTTAAAGAGTCACACACTTGAAAACCAACAAGTCTTTCTCTTCTAACAAACTATTAACTCTAACCATCCAGCGTTTAGACAGAACAAGCATTTTTTTCCTTCAAGTGCTTCCAAAGCTAACGTCAGAACATTGCACTCATGTTTCACCAACAAATTCAAAATAGGGGGAAATATAAAAGGAAATATGTGCAAAATTCACTTTAAGTGTGACACCTTAGCTTCTAATATTTCTAAGGGAAGTACAGAGCCATCCCTCACAAGTTTGAGGACTGTGGATGCAAATGGAATCACCAAGGAAGGGTTTGTTTAATGGTTCCGAGGGTATTTTGCTGCTCCAAAACAATCCTACCTTTCCCCCTTATTACTGAATTCACAAAAACACTCAAAGGATTGAAGTAAACACAACAAAGGGTTAAGTAGAGGCATCATAAACACACTGGCTAGTCTTTAAGGATCTACAGGCACAAGAGATTGGGTAACAAAGTTTGTTCACTTCAGACTAGACACAGTTTGATATCATAGTTGTAGCAGCGAGCCAATCAGACATTCCCACAGACGTTTAATGTGCACCCTTTGAATCCTCGTCCTTTGGAAGGGATCTTATGTCCGACCCTGGCTTGGTCAGAATCAGCTTCCTTAAAACGATGAACATGAAGTCGGGGCGGGGGTGCTTTACTGATGGGACTGACGGTGACACTGGAGGTTGTGTGCTGTGTGACAGTGTGTGAAGAGAAGCACTGCAGGGCCTTGATCTTCCTCATCTCAGATGTGTGGAGCACTCATCAGCAGCAGCGCCAGCACTGGGGCTATACTACTGTTCCACTGGGGGAGTTAGCAGGGTTGTTCTGAGATGACAATAACCCCTGTGGAAGAACACACAGACATGTTGAGAACAAAGCAGCGGCACTAAAATGTAACGCAAGAGGCACATCAAGGCTGTCAGGTTTATTGGTTCTGTTGGTTTATCAAATAACTGCTGCCTGCACTTCAGCATTAAACCCTTTTGAATAGCCATGAGTCAGTATGAGATGGGCATGGTGACCTCTGATAACAGTATTTTGATATACAAATAACTTTAAAATGCATCACAATTTATTTACTTTATGTAAAAGCAAAAATGTGCTGGGCTTACATTTGCTATCACATAATGCTTAATGATTATTTTATAGGTAGATTTATAGGTAGATTTTCATTTTATTGCACAGGGATACTAAGAACACAAACGAACAATGGCAGTCACTTTGTTTAGAGTATTTTCATGCACTCAGTAACATTACTAACATTACTTTTCCACTGATCCTTGTGACATACATTTTTGTGGTTTTGGCACAGACTTTTTAACACCGTGATATAACTTGAAATCAATAATCATCATATGCCTAACTCCAATGGTTAATAGCAAAACTGACTGCGTCTGCATCATAGCCTTTTTTTGTGTTTGCTAAGGTCCCTTAGCTGTGGTGGTAATCTAAAATTAAGTTAACTCCAAAAGTTAAAGACTTGTACATGTACAGTCAAATATGACTTTCAGAGAGTTTCATTAAAATTCATCTGCTTGTCTATAGGTGAACTTGAGCAAGAAGACGTTCAATAACAGGTATTAAAATGTAAAACAAGAAGCAGGTCAGAAAAGCTATGGTTTACTGGCAGATAAAATGTAGGGATGTGGATAAATGTTTAATCCTACACCAATATTAAATCTGACAGCGGATTCCAAAAGAACATTTCAAACCATACAAAATAACACCAAAATCATGTGATTATCTGAAGTATGAGGGAAGTTATTGATGTTTGTTCAGGTGAAATCAGCTCATGTTTTCTTGCTGCAGTTAACAGCAGAACCAATGTGACCATTTCACCTTGTTGTTTTCTATTTTTGCTCATAACTTCCTCAGTGTTCAAGATATCACCATGAAATTTTAGGGAAAGATTCCCATTCTGGTTTTGTAGGAAGCATCTTGTCTCCTAAAAAACTAATAAAACTTAATAATAGCCAATTCAAAAGTAGCAGAAAATGTATAAAATAACATTACAAGGCAAACTGTAGCATCAAATCAACTTAATGTGTCTTAGAAAGTAAGGAAATTAAAACAATTTAAAAACCATGTGGACATCTGTTTAGTAAACAAAGCTCCTCAACCAATGACAGCGTGTTAAATGTCAAGTGACGAAGACGAGCGTCAAAACACTTTGCAACAAGCGCTGTTCTGGATTTTAAAAAAACATAGTTCAACGTTTCAAATCATTATCAAATTTGGAAGAAGGGCAGATAAAATAATGTTCTTCATGGCAGCTTATCTCTTTAAGGGGGTCACTAGAAAAACTCGGGCGATTTACTTTGATCCTCTTTTCAAAAAATTGTCTCTTCAAAACGCATCAGCAAAAATTAAAAACTCGAAGACGAGGCTGTAGCTAACTACCTGACGGCAGCCCGATTTGTTGAAATTCGTAGAAATAACGAAGCAGGAGGAAATTACAAGCAAACGCACCGAGCAGCCTCGCAAAATCTGGTCACAGCAGTTTGGGAAGAAAATCGCAGCAGCTGCTGACGAAATGTCAACATCCCTATCAAATGTTAAGAAATTCAAAATTCTCTTGGTCTAGTCTCATAACTTCTGAATGCCAGTAAATGTGTTCAGTCAAAGCAGCATGATTTTAGTATTGTCACGTGACAGTATCTTGAAGAGGATAGTCACTCACCACTTTCCCAGGCCTGGCCCATGTGCAAACAAAACCCTCCTGACAAGCTGTTACCAGACAGTCCTCCAGGAAGATTAACACAGTGAGTCTCTCGTGGGCAATCTTCTTGCACACCAGTGGTTCTAAAAGCGGCACCTCCTCCATGCGAGGGCACTGCGTCGTGCCCAGAGTCTTAGCTGCCTCGGCTTTTGCCGTCCGCGAAGAGCTGAGCTGGTTGAGCTTGTCGCTGCTCTTGTTGCTGATCTGACCCATGCTGAAGTTGCGCTTGTGGTCCTTCTCGTGGCGTTCCTTCCGTGAGTCGTGCAAGGACAACGACGCAAACTTGCTGACGCTGTTGGTGATGAAAGCGCTGTCGATGATGTTGTTGCCCTTGGTGCTGCTGCCGCTGCTGCTGCAGCTGCTGCCCGTGTGGCTGTTGGGGGTGCTGCCCACTGCTGGATTGGTCGAGTGAGGCAAGCTATTAGACCGAGGCAGTGAGCCGGGGAGGGAATTAGCTGGGTTGCCACTGCTGCTACTATTGCTCACGTTGTCTTTACCATTAGTACCACTGGAATTGGTGGTGGTGATTGATACAGTAGTAATCGTTTGTCCAGTGGCTGGAGAGCTTGAGGCATTCATCACATTAGTCTGAGTCCTAGTGCGCGACAAAGGGAGGTGAGGGAAAAAAATGTCCTCTGTAAGATCCCACAGACACAGCTGAGTATCCTGCCCCACTGAGCCAAACCTGTAGGTCACACTGACAGGCCTACTGTCTGTAGAGTTTCTCTTAGAGAGCCGAGAGTGAGAGCTGTTGGCTCTGTCTCTTCCCGCCCCAAAATGAATCTGCTCATGGAAGTCCTCATCGCTCCCGCTGAACTCAGCAGGCGGGTCTCCGTCTTCAACGCTCGTAGTGCAGTGGTCAAACGCCACTACACTCACCCATGACTTATGACCGTGTCCTCGTGCTATGACTTTGCAGTCTGTGAAGGACCACACAGTCACCAAGTCGTCCTCTCCTCCCGCCACGATGTACCGCCCGTCGGGGCTCCAGCACACGCACAGCAAGCCGCCAAAGTAGCTCTTCATTGTTCCATGGAGCTCTGCAGCATCGAAGCCGAACACTCGCAGAAAGCCATCCTGACTTGCGCAGGCCAGAAACTTGCCATCCGGGGAGAAGGCAAACTCGTTGAGCGCCCCCTCGCCCACCGTCCAGCGCAGCAGCGGGTTACGAGCCGACTTGCTCTTGCAAGTGTGCACCGCGTAGTTTTCACCCTGCTTGAGGAGCTGGTAGTGAGGTGCTGTGGTGCCACAGGTGTTTTCCATGTTGTACAGGTACATGCTGCCACTGGAGTGAGCCACCAGGAATAAGCTCTCTGAACCGGGAACCCATCGTACACACGTTACTCTTGATTTGTCAATAAGTCTCTGGAAGCAGAAGGGGAAACAAAAAAAAAAAAATGAGCACACATATTAGTAGTATATTTTATTCTAACTGGTTGTTGATTCAGTGAACTGTTATATAAAATTAAAGAATTATTTAAAGAGACTCAGACTTTGTACATCTCAAATAGGTTTTCTACAGAACCATGTTGACTGTAAGCAGTCCTGCCACAATGATGAATTTTGCTGGATGATAAACTGAATCAGAAAGGATTGCGATAAGCACTAATATTGTTTGGAAACAATTTTATTATAATGATAATGCCCCGCCCACCTCCTCTATCCAATTTGGCACAATTTATTCTTTATGCAACTTTTTCTGGTTTCATAAAAATAACTGCAGGCACCCTCACACCGCTTACAAAATTTACGGAAATTTACAAAATGTAAAGTTAAGGACGAACCAGGAACGGAGATTGTGAAAACGGCATCCAATAATAGCTGCTGAAGACGTAAGATTGCTACCCACCTGTACCAAAGCTGGCAAAATTTATTCTTTGTGCCTTCCTCTGGCTTCATAAAATAATTGCGGTCACCTTACAAGTTTACAAAATTTACGTAGTGTAGAAAATACCAACTTTCGTCAAACYGAAGGTTCGGCACGATGCCCTGAGGGCGTCCTGAGGACTCGCCAGCTGAAAGAAGGCAGCGGAAAACCGAAGCTACTCCTCTAGCTAAACGCCTGTTCACAGGACTCTCATGCTACAGAGGTTACAAGACCATGTGCCTGGCAAATACCTGACACAAGAGTTTACTCCTCCTTATGCTAAGGAGTACAAAAGAGGGACACAAAGAAAACAAACAAGCGGGCAAATGAAAATTACCAATTTATCATGCAATTAAATTATTTAATGTTTACTGCGACAGGCCTAACTGTAACCCACCTCCTCATTAAAGAGTTTGCTGGTTTCTTTCTTGATTGGGTCTATAAGCTGCACCTGGCCTGCTGAGAAGCCCACCAGCAGGGAGACGCTCTCTGCTGTCGCTGTGAGCGGGTTGAAGTCGTGACATGTAGGCTGCGTGCCTTTGTAGATCCTCTTGTCGATGGGCTTACTAAGATCAGCAGCCTAGAAATGATAAACACACAAAGCATGTCACTGACAGCACCTTTAATGCGAAACAAAAAATATTCCCTGGCATGAAGCTGTAAAATATGAAACACTGGTTATTATGTATTAAGGTAGAACTCAGAAGTGCACCCTACTCAGAAAAGGAGAAGCAAATTACAAGACCAATGCAACTTTTACTGTGAAGGGTTTGTGTTCATATTCACTTGTTAAAAAACAAAGGCTTGTATTTAGGAGACACTGTAAAACATACAGTTCCTTGCGAAAGTATTCGGCCCCCTTGAACCTTTTGCCACATTTCAGGCTTCAAACATAAAATATATATATATATATATTTTTTTTTTTTGTGAAGAATCAACAACAAGTGTGACACAATCGTGAAGTGGAACAAAATTTATTGGATATTTTAAACTTTTTTWAMMAAWWAAAAAACTGAAAAGTGGGGCGTGCAATATTATTCGGCCCCTTTACTTTCAGTGCAGCAAACTCACTCCAGAAGTTCAGTGAGGATCTCTGAATGATCCAATGTTGTCCTAAATGACTGATGGTGATAAACAGAATCCACCTGTGTGTAATCAAGTCTCTGTGATTGTCTCAGGGTTCTGTTTAAAGTGCAGAGAGCATCATGAAGACCAAAGAATAGGCAGATCTGAGATACTGTTGTGGAGAAGTTTAAAGCTGGATTTGTACACAAAAAGATTTCCCAAGTTTTAAACATCTCACTGTGCAAACAATCATATTGAAATGGAAGGAGTATCAGACCACTGCAAAACTACCAAGACCCGGCCGTCCCTCTAAACTTCCATCTGGAACAAGGAGAAGACTGATCAGAGATGCAGCCAGGAGGCCCGTGATCACTCTGGATGAACTGCAGAAATCTACAGCTGAGGTGGGAGTTGGGTTGGGCAATATTGGCAAAAAAAATTAATCACGATTAATTGTGGTATTTAGCCGACAACGATTAATTTGACGATTAATGCCCTGGAGTCCCTGGACACCCGTCCTAGTCACATGGCAAATTTAGAGGGAAAGATTTGCTCTTTGTAAAAAATCTTTTTGAAATTGTGTAAAAAAAATTACAGACTTCAGGCTATACATCACATTCTAAATAGTGTTGATAAATAAATAAATTACAGAACTTTGTTTTTTTGTGTTTATCATATTTGAAGTGGAGAGGAGCATTGAGCGGACTGACTGGAGTAATTCCCAGTCAGTCTCCCTGGTGGCATTAATCATTAATCGTCAAGTGCTAAAAAATAATTGATTAATGTTTTTCTGACAATTAATTGCACATGATACGACTATGCCCAACCCTAAGTGGGAGAGTCTGTTCATAGGACAACAATCAGTCATACAACGCACAAATCTGGCCTTATGGAAGAGTGGCACAAAGAAAGCCATTTCTCAAAGATAAACATAAAAAGTCTTGTTTAATGTTTGCCACAAGACACCTGGCAGACACACCAAACATGTGGAAGAAGGTGCTCTGGTTAGATGAAACCAAAATCAAACTTTTTGCCCACAATGCAAAACTATATGTTTGGCGTAAAAGCAACAGAGCTCATCACCCTGAACACACCATCTCCACTGTCAAACATGGTGAAGTTAGCATCATGATTTGGGTCTGCTTTTCTTCAGCAGGGACATGGAAGATGGTTGGAGCCAAATACAGGTCCATTCTGGAAGAAAACCTGTTGGAGTCTGCAAAAGACCAAAGACTGGGACAGAGATTTATCTTCCAACAACACAATGATCTAAAACATAAAACAAAATCTACAAAAGAATGGTTCACAGATAAAACATATCCAGGTGTTAGAACGGCCAAGTCAAAGTCCAGACCTGAATCCAATCGAGAATCTGTGGAAAGAGCTGAAAACTGCTGACAAACACACCCCATCCAATCTCACTGAGCTTGAGTTGTTCTGCAAGGAAGAATGGGCAAGAGTTTCAGTCTCTCCATGTGCAAAACTGATAGAGACTTACCCCGAGCCACTTGCAGCTGTAATCGCATCAAAAGGTGGTGCTACAAAGTATTAACACAAGGGGGCCGAATAATTTTAAACGCTCAATTTTTCGTGTTGTTTAAAATGTTTTAAATATCCGATAAATTTTGTTCCACTCCACAAATGCGTCCTACTTGTTGATTCTTCACAAAAAAAAAATTATTTTATATCTTTATGTTTGAAGCCTGAAATGTGGCAAAAAGTTGAAAAGTTCAAGGGGGCCGAATACTTTCACAAGGAACTGTACAGTGGGGAGATCAAGTATTTGATACACTGTTGATTTTTCAGGTTTTCCCACTTGCAAAGCTTGTAGAWGACTGTAATTTTTATCATAGGTACTCTTCAACTGTGAGTGATGGAATCTAAAACAAAAATCCAGAAAAATACAATGTATGATTTTTAAATTATTAATTTCCATTTTATTGTGTGAAATAAGTATTTGATACACCAGAAAAATGAAACTTAATATTTGGTACAGAAACCTTTGTTTGCAAAGGTATATATACTGTGTATATATA